TGCAGGCGTGACCCTGACCCCTTGGTGCCTTGTTTTGCAGATCATTTCTCAAGACGAAGCCGACAGGAGGGGAAAGGTGTATGACAAGTACATGTGCAGCTTCCTCTTCAACCTCAACAACGGTGCGTCCCAGGGGCGGGGGGTCAGAGCCGGTGCTGGCGGCTGTGGTCACCCCCCGAGGGACCTGGGCCTCTAAGCGCGTCTAGGTTGCTCTGCTTCCTGGGTCGGCGACTCCAGTCCCCCAGGGAGTGGAAGCACTGAGACTGAAGGGCCGTGTTTTGGGGTTGTGGGGGGGTGTCCCCAAATCCCTCTCAGTGGGGGCCAGCGGAAGGGGAGGCCGAGGCATGCGTTCCAGACATTCTCCGTGAAGAAAGTAGTAATACGATGTCAGATCTGAGAACGGTCATTCTTGATGTTGAGCAGAATTGAGCTGCTTTTCTTACGCGGCACTCGGTTTAGTGAGCCATATCCAGGGTGGGTGAGTATGGCCGGAGTGTTGTCATTAGCCCGGACAGCGGTGCGGTCCCACGTGCCCTCCCTTCCACACTGCGCCAGGCTGGCTGGGTGGTGGCCTGGCCCCAGAGGCGGAGACCCGCGGTCAGAGCAGCTGTGTGCAGTTGGTGTCTCCCGGTCCGTCCCTGGATGTGCTCACTGGTTGCGCGTGCTCTTTCTCTGCAGATTTCGTGGTGGATGCAACCCGCAAGGGTAACAAAATCCGCTTTGCAAATCACTCAGTAAATCCAAACTGCTACGCAAAAGGTAGGTGCCGGGAGCCGTGTGCGTGGTCTGGACAGTGCTGTCCACTCGCTCGCTAACCCGCGCGTCTCTCGCAGTGATGATGGTCAACGGTGATCACAGGATTGGCATCTTCGCCAAGCGGGCCATCCAGACCGGCGAGGAGCTCTTCTTTGACTACAGGTCGGTAACGCTCGCTCCCTGTGGGCTCTGGGCCTTGTGGTTGGTCCCGTAAGATGCCCGTTGCACCCGCTTGTCGTGGGGGGCAAGGCTCTGGGTGTGCATGTCACGTCACACACGTGGTCGCTCTACAGTTTGTTCAGCTCTCTGATGAGTGTCTTCAGTGACAGCACACCAAGCCTCGCGATCACAGGCGCCCATCACATCATCACTGGGTGCTTTCAAAGTGGCCTCACAACCCTGGGTCCCCTCCTGTCTGATGTGAGCTCGGGCCCCGAGCCAGCTGTGCCACAGCCAGTGTGGGGTAGGGCTGATAGTCACGCCTTGTTCTTACACCACGTGTGTAACCGCGTGTGTCTGCTGAGCCAGGCCCCTCTGAGCGTGGGCATCTGTAGGGCAGAAGCCTGACTTGGGGTCACTGCGGTCGCTTGGTCTTGCTGGGGCCCTGGGACCTCGAGTCCCACGGCAGCGGCTGGGTGGGGGTGGTTCTCACTGGCCATGGTGGCCTCTGCTGTGGCCGCTCATGCCTGGCAGCCTCCCTGCTGGGACCCTGGGCGGACATGACAGGCGTGGTTCCGATGGCTCTTGCCTCCCCTTTTGTTGTAGATACAGCCAGGCTGACGCCCTGAAGTATGTGGGGATCGAGAGAGAGATGGAGATCCCCTGACATCCACTGCCTCCTCCCCAAAGCAGCTGCCTGGGCGTTAGGAACCCCTAGTGCTGTGAGCAGCTTAGAGGTGCAGTTTGAATTCTGAATTGACAAAGTACTGTAACAGTAATTTATAGTAACAAGTTTAAAAATCCACTTTTTATCACCTTCTCACCAGCTGCAGAGTGTTTTGTACCAGTGACTTTTTGCAATAATGCCGTGTGGTACATTTTTCAACTTTGAATAAAGAATACTTGAATTTCCCTGGTTGTTGCACGCTCATTAACTGGCCGGGAGGACAGTTTCTGATGTGACAGACTCGGCTGTCACACCTGAGGTCGTCAGCGTCTGCCGTCCATGTTCCCTGTCGACAAGCAGAACGACACTGGTGGCACAGGTGGTGCCATCCTCTGCACATGAAGCCAGCGGGGCGGGCCGTCCCGTCAGCAGTGCCACGCGGGCCTGTTTCTCACAGGATGGTGGTGGGCGTGAGCTGGGTGACCCTCAGAACCCACAGGTCAGACAGCCTCCAAGGTCCAACCTTACAGCTGCGTGCACAGGTGGGGCTGCGTGCCATGTCCCATGTGGTTGATGCCAGCACCTATGGGGAAGCCTACCGAGAGCCCACCTCAGCCCCTGGCGGGTGGTTACTGCCTCTTATACGGAGTTAAAGTGAAGGTGAGACCTCGCCGGAACAGGAAGCAAGGTGAGTTAGGCTGAGACCGCTGCTTTCTGCCACACCTGTGCGCAAGACAGCTTCCTCCTTGGTTCCAGTCACAAGACCCTGCCTCAGACTCGAGTCTCGTGTATTTCTTTCTCTGGTTCCCCCGTTAATGACAGCACCTCTAAAGAGCTGCCCCTGCCCCTGCCCCTCCACATCAGGTTCCAGTAGACAGGACCTTCAGCTCCGCCACCTCGCGTCCACCCGTGCCCTCATGTCCAGCTGTACCCACCTCGCGTCCACCCGTGCCCTCCTCATGTCCAGCTGTACCCACCTCGCGTCCACCCGTGCCCTCCTCATGTCCAGCTGTACCCACCTCGCGTCCACCCGTGCCCTCCTCATGTCCAGCTGTACCCACCTCGCGTCCACCCGTGCCCTCCTCATGTCCAGCTGTACCCACCTCGCGTCCACCCGTGCCCTCAGCGTGGCCCTGAATTTTGGTGAGAGCACTGACAACTTACCCATTTGCCACCCCCCACACTCCAGCTCGATGGGGGCCGTGAAAGTGGAAAGGAGACTTCAGTAGCCACACGCAACAAAGAACACAGACCTCACAAAACTAGTCTAGTCGTTAACCAAACAAACAAGAAACAGCAACAACAAATACCGCAGGGGAGAATCTCATTTCCCAAGTTGCCGAATTATAATCTAAATGTCCAGTTTCCAACAAAAAATTACAAGGCATGTGAAACACAGTATGACCCACTCACAGGAAAATACTGTTGCGTCCACCCAGAAGCTGCTTTAGTACTTTTTCAAGTGTCTTGTCTGGTTGACCCCATCTCTGGCCTTCAGAATATGCACTGGGTGACTCGGTGCCCTGAGATCCCAGCCCATTCCCACCCTGTCTGCAGTCAAACACGTCGTGCAGTCACTTACAGACAAGTCAACACAAGACCCTTCTGATCATTTTGAAAGAATCTAATACGCCCTGTTGGAAGCTGAATGGGCTTTTAGGATCCTGTGGGAATTAGCTGAAATGCTTGCTTACCCCTCAGTGTGTTGGTAGTGATTTCAGGGCAGGACATGTTGGTGACGGGTGTGAGGAGTGGTCTGTGCTCACTGTTCACCGTCCTCCGTGGGCTGCGTGAGATCTGGAAGGACGAGGGTAAGGCAGATTTAGTCTCCCAGATGGGCGTTCAAAGACAAACCTGTCCATCAGGGTATGTCTGATCTCTCAGCTGGGTGCGGTAAAATCTAGATTTCTTTCAAAGGAAAATTAAGCACCAGTGCACGGTGGTTAAGAGCTGGGCTGCTAATCAAAACGTCCCCAGTTCAAATCCACTAGCCATTCCTTGGAAACCCTACAGGGCAATTCCACTGTGTCCTACAGGGTCTCTATGAACCCGGATTGGCCTAACGGCCAAGTTTGGCTCAGCAAGGAGGTAGGTTGTCTTACGCTCTCATGAAGATACAAAATTCCAGGTGTCTCTTGATCGTTGCTGTAGGCTGAACTGTCCCCTAAAAAGACAGGCTGGAAAAATAGGTTCAAGTACTAACCCCTGGTAGCTGTGTGACTTTATCGGTTAACAGGAGGCTTACTGGAGTAGGGTGGGTCCTAGTCCCATCCGAGTGGTGGAGAGACAGGTAAGCCACATGAGGACACATGGGAATGGTGGAGCCACCAGACAATACCTGGAGCCACCAGCAGCTGCAAGAGGCAAGGAAGCATCTTCCCCTAGAGCCTTTAGAGGGAGCACGGCCCTGCCGACTTTCTGATTTCGGACGTCTGGCCTCTGGAACTGTGAGGGAATGAACTGAAGTCACCCAGCGTGCAGTACTTTGTTATGGCGGCCACAGGAATCTCATGCTGTCTGCCCTCACCATCTTCTTCCAGGGCAGGCCCCCCCCCACCCCGTTTCAGCTCCCTCACCACATCCATGAGCCATGGCCAGCCGTCCAGCTCCAGTGGGGGCATGGGAGGTCTTCAATCCTTGTCTACACCCTGGGGCCTGCTCGTGTCCGGAAGGAGACGCCCTAAGGTCATGCTGGAACCAGGAAAGGTTCAGTCACTACCGCACTTCTTCAATAAGAGGGAAAACGTTCCGCCTAACTTTTGCTGATTTCTTTGCTATGCTTTCTCCCCCTTTACGACGACCTCCTGGAGGTGTTTGTGTGTGTCTGGGCACCTGCTCCGTAGGGAGCGCGTAGGTGCTCTGAACTTCCACACAGACAGCAGTGTGGGGCTGTGCCAGCCCTCTGCAGAGCCAGGATGCGGCTGCAGACGGGGCTCAGGAGTGAGCGGCGCGGCTGACGGCCAAGGTGGGCCGCAGAGCCACCACACGGAAGGGCAGCCTCGGTCTCTGCAGCGACGCCCAAGTGCTGGCTGCATCCCACAGCTGACCGCTGAGCTGCTGTCCACTTACCAGCAGCTGCCTCAGACGCCGGCGCTTTTGTGCTGTGGCCACAGGGCTGCTCTCCTGCCACCTGGGGACAAGACAGGCCGGGCGCACAGGCCCTCAGGACAAAGCCCGTTTCTATCCACAGACCGCGGCCCCGCTGCAGTTTCCCCACCCGAGAGGAAAGCTACTGCCTCAGGTTGTCAGGACTAACCCGCTGCCCTCAGAGCCCTGCCTTCGAGCCCTGCAGGAAGAAGCCTCAGAAATGTAAACAAATAATAGACATGACAAGGGCCTGCAAACCTTTTCAGTCCAACAAATGAGCCTTTCAGACTCCAGGAAGACACTGCGAATATGGAAAATTGCATAATCGTTATATCTTTTATTTACATATAGAAATTAGTAAAACTTAAAACAAAACCAAATGCGACTTGTACAGAAATCCTTTAATTCTCTTTATTCTCACACATTAAAAAATGAAGCACACTGTACAAATGTCTCCACGGCGGCGGCGTGTGGCCGCGGACCTGCCCTCCGGCGGCGAGAACGGCAGCGTGTGCTGATGTGACGCATGCAGCCTCAGCGGAGGCCTGTCCCCTCGGTCCTTAAATTAGGTTAAATGGCGTCGCGTCCGTAAGCACAGACAGAAGTGTCAGTCCTGAGCGGTTCGGTGGGCCTGAGGCTGCCCTGCGGTCTCGGTCTCGGCTGAGGCGGCGGCCAGAGCGGAGTCGGCGCCGTCCTCCCTCGAGCGGCGTGGTCACGCGGGCCACACCCTTCCAGAAGGCTAAGCCAGGTAGCTGTAGGTGTCCTTTTCACCGTCCACTCGCTCCAAATATTCTTTCTCAATCAGAATATCAATGCATTTCTGGACGTTAGTTTTTAAAAGGAAGAAGAACACAGACTGTCAGAACGGAGGCTACACGCTGCGGCCCCTAGGGATGGCCCCTGAGCGCAAGGCAGTGTCCCTCCGCCCTGGCTGTGGTCTCGGGGCCCGCTGTCCTCAAGCCCCAGCCCCTTTCTGTAAAATGACCACTCCTCCCCAGGACACACGGGAAGCAGGAGGCGGTCCGGCCGTGTCCTCACCGCCGGCCTGGAGCAGCTCCTCTGCCCACGGGCCGCGTCTGCTTTAGACAGCACAGACCAGCAGGGTGGGCGGCGGCCAGCTCCTGCGCAGACCACCCGTGTGGCCATAAACACGACAAAGGACCGCGACACGCTCCCGCGCAGATACCCACCAAGGAGGCTGAGCTGCGGGAGCCCGCGTACCCTGTGATGCAGCAGGCACAAGCGGGGCGGCCCTGCGGCCCAGGGTCAGGGGAGAGCCGGCTGAACTCCAGAACACCTGCTACCTAGGGACCAGGCGAGCCCCTCTCCGGCCACGCAGCAAGCCCACCCCGGCCACCTTCTGAATCTCTGCAGCTCTGCGGCCCAGCGACGCCTGTACCTTGATGACAGGGACCCGCGGCTTGAAACGCGACGACAGCTGCGTCAGCACCTCCCCGAGCAGCTGCTGGTGCTTCAGGACCTTCCTCATCTTCATGATTCTCACGATGGCCGCCTGCGGGCAACACGGGTCAGGGCGGGGGAGGGGCACCGAGCACACCAGCAAACTTGTTCGCCCGGGATGGACCCCCAACAGGCAACAGAGAGGCAGGCAAGCGCTAATCTGACGAACGTTAAGACTGTTTCTCTTGGTCTTCTGAGCACCTTTAACCATTCAACTCAACTATAAAGTATTTTAGGAGCCCTGGAGGCACAACGGTCAAGCGCTCAGTGGCTAACCGAAAAAAGTCGGTGGTTTGAACCCACCAGCTGCTCTGGGGAAGAAACATGTGGCAGTCTGCTCCCATAAAGAGTCCAGCCTTGGAAACCCTCTGGGACAATTCTAATCTGTCCTATGGGGTCCATATGAGTCAGAACTGACTCAATGGCACCCAACAACAATGAAGTACTTTAAAACAGAACAATTTAAATCTTTTAGGCTGGCTGAGCTGTCCACACCTCCATTAAACACCCTTGCCTCCTGCCCCCATCTCTCAGCCCACCTGCTCCCAATCTGCAGGGCGGGGCGGCACCATTCTGCCCTCACCTGGCAGAGAGCAGGCCCCGGAGCTGCGGCTTCACCTGCCCATCCCGAGACCCTCACATTCTCAGGACGACGATCCACCCTTCACCCTGCCATCCACTTGTCCACCTCATACCCCCTCTCCATCCACCCACAAGTCACCTGAATCAGCAGTTTGCGGTCTTCCTCGATATTTTTGTGTGTGGTTTCTTGTTCTTGCTTCTGTTCGGTTTTCATCGGCACGTTGATGTTAACCCTTAATTTCTTACTGGAGGGAAACGGAGGACAGGGTGGTGTTTGACATGACCATCTCCTTGCCCCTTCACCTGCCCCCTCACCATGGCAAGTGAGATAAAATCAAGACCCTTGGAAATAAACAGGCCCAAAGTGTCCAAGCCGTTCAGGAGACACATTGGCCAAGGAATCTCCTCACTAAGGAAGAAACAAAACCCCACACAGAGGCACGGTGAAACCAGGGACACGGAGCGTAGTCCAAGGCCTGTCGGGCCCCCACCCAGGCTCACAGAGCCCAGTCCTCCCCTGTCCAGCAACCCTAGGGAAGGCGCCAGGGCACTGGGTGTATGGTTCAGCCCAGGGCCAGCTGTCAATTAGACTTCTCTTACTTTTTATAACCAAGATATAATTTTATTAAGGTGTCTGGCTTCAGTTCCACCTCATCAACATTCGCATTTTCGTCCTCCAAGACCTATAAGAAAACAACTGTTACCACACAGTCTCAGGAAATGCCTTTCTTCTAGCTTAACACGGAAAATGTACACACATACCAATAACTTTGACTTCAATAAAATCTGTAGGACTTGTGCCAGAATGTCCTGCAATCAAAGAGAAAACAAGTCAGAAGGAAAACTCATTCTTCCCTGCATTAACAACCGCAGGCAGCCCAGAATCCACCGTGCCTCACTGGTGCCCACTCTGCTCCCACGGTCGAGGCTAAAACTGTGACAGTGGGGGCCTCCAGATAGGAAACTCACCCAGAATGAGGGGCGTGGGGGTACTGCTAGTGAGGTCAGGCCAACGGGTGGGTCTGGGCCCTAATGTGTGTTCTCGTCCCCAAACAGGGAAGAGATCGGCACTGCATTCCTGTCACAGAGCCACCAGAGTCTCACGTGTCAGCTGCAGAAGCAGCTCGCAGCCCTCTCTGGGGCCGCCTACCCTGCAAGACAGCTGAGCACCCCAGGCTCCGTCTTCTCCCTCTCACGGGTCAGCAGCAATGAGACTTGCTTTGTTACTTGATTCTGAGATGTTCTGGGGACTAACTTGAAACAGGACTTAAAAGAGAACAACTTCCCTAACTTATTCTGAGGACAGCATTAGAGACACCAAAGCCAGACAAAGTCACCAGAGACCAATATCCCTCAGGAATACAGATGCAAAATCCTCAACAAAATACTAGCAAACTGAATCCAACATCATCATAGCCACTACCATGGACTCCAGCATACCAACAATCGCGAAGGTGGAGCAGGATGGGCAACGTTTCCTTCCGTTGTTCACAGGTCACCTGCCTCAGAGCCGACTTGACAGCAGCTGACACCACCATGACGAGCTGGGATTTATCCCAGGAATGCAAGGACAGTTCAATATGTGAAAACCACTCAACGTAACAGCCATAGGAACGGACTAAAGAAGACATCCACACGATCATCAACAGATGCAGACATTTTCCACAATAGAGGCACTCAATAAACTAGGAACAGAAGGGAATTTCTTTGCCATGATAAAGGGAATCTATGAAAAACACAGCCAGCATCATACTCAATGGGGAAAAACCAAACACTTATCCCCGATGATCAGGAACAGTACAAGGATGCTGGCTTTCACTGTTACCGCTCAACGCTGTACTGAAGTGCTAGCCAGAGCAATTAGGCAATAAAAAGAAATAAAAGGTACCCAACTTGTAAAAAAAGTAAAACCATCTGTATTTGCAGATGATATGATCTTATGTATGGAAAACCCTAAAGATTCACACACACACAATATCAAAGCTTAATAAACACGTTCAGCAAGGTTGCAGGATACGTGACCAACACACACAAGTCAGTTGTTTGTATACACCATCAAAGAACAATCAGAAAAGGAAATAAAAGGAAGCAATTCGTTTAAAATGCATCAGAAAGAACAAAATACATAGAAATAAATTTACACTGAAAACTATAAAACACTGCTGAGAGGAAGTAAAGACGCCAACAAACGGGAAGGCACGTCCCCTACTCATGGATTGGAAGACTTAATACTAATTCGATGCCGATACTACCCAGACTGAAATTCCAAATGCCTTTTTGGCAGAAATGGAAAAGCTGATCCTCAAATTTATATAAAATGGCAAGGGGCCCCAAATCACCGAGACAATCTTGAAAAAGAACAAAGTGGAAAGACTCATACTTCCCAATTTCTAAATGTACTATAAAGCTAAAATAATCAAAATACTGCGGTACTGGCATAAGGATAGACATATAGACTAATGGAACAGAATTCAGAGTCCAGAAATCTATGCGTCTATGGTCAACTGATTTCTGACAAGGGTACCAAGTCCATTCAATGGGAAAAGTACAGTCTCTTCAACAAACGGCACTAGGAAAACTGGATCTCCACACGCAAAAGAATGAACTTAGAACCCTACCTCCCACCATATGTAGAAATTAATTCAAAATGGATCAACAACCTAAATGTAAGAACTAAAACCATAAAACTTTTAGAAGAAAACATAGGAGTAAATCTTTGTGACCTCGGATTAGGCAATCCTTTCTTAGACATGACAACAAAAGCACAAGCAATAAAAGAAAAAACAGGTAAAGTGGACTTCGTAAAAATTTTAAAAATTTGTGCATCAAAGGACCTTATCAAGAAAAACCACCCACAGGATGGGAGAAAATATTTGCAAATCACATATCTGATAAGGGTCTAATATTCTGTATAAAGAATCCTTACAATCCAGCATTAAAATGACAAATAACCCAATTAACCTATGTACAAAGGACTTGAACAGACATTTCTCCAAACAAGACATACAAATGACCGATAAGCACATGAAGATACTCAATGTCATCAGTCATCAGGGAAATGCAAATCAAAACAACGAGGATGAGCCGTATGGATGGCCGTGATGAAATGAAAAGAAAGATAACAAGTGTTGGTGAGGATGTGAAGAAACTGAAGCCCGAACGCATTGCCAGTGGGAATGTAAAATGGTGCAGTCACTGTGGAAAAGTCTGGCATTTCTTCAAAAAGTTAAACATGAAATTACTATACCAAAACCAACCAAACCTGTTGCCGTTGGGTCGATTCCAACTCACAGCGACCCTATAGGACAGAGGTGAACTGCCCCAAAGGGTTTCCAAGGAGTGGATGGTGGATTCAAACTGCCGACCTTTTGGTTAGCAGCCAAGCTCTTCACCACTGTGCCACCAGGGCTCCAAAATTACCATACGACCCAGCAATTCCACTCCTAGGTACACACCCAAGGGAAATGAAAACACGTCCGTACAAACACTTGTACATGAATGTTCACAGCAGCACCACACGCAGTAGCCAGAAAGTGGAAACAACCCAAATGTCCATCAACTGATGAACAGATAAAAAACTGTGCTACATCCACACAATGGAGTATTATTCAACCTTAAAAACATATGCTGAGTGAAAGAAGCCAGACCCCAAAGACCACATATGTATGATTCCACGGATATGAAATGTTCAGAACAGGCAAATCCAGAGACAGAAAGTAGACCGGCAGCTGCCAGGGGCTGGAAGATGAAGGAAAAGGGGAGGGACTACTAATGGGTACAGGGGGTTTCTTTCTGAAGTCACAGAAATGTTCTGAAATTGGGTAATAGCGATGTCCGCAGAACACTGTGAATATAGTAAAAACCACTGAACTGCACATTTCAAAATGGTTAATTTTATGTTATGTGAATTATATCTCAATAAAAAAATTAACAGGAAAAATAATATTAAAATAGGTGAAAATTAAGCTTAGTAAGAAAAACCTAGCTGCAAAAAGGGTAAGAGCTGGTGAACATGCGAAAAGCACGTACACGCATCTTACAGCTCATATGAAGTTTAGAAATCAGGCTTTCTGTAACACACATTAAAATCCCACATACCTATTTCACTTTGAAGACACCACATCCTGTCCCCATACCCTCCCCACAATATCCGTAAGAATAAGGACAGTCAACTCGTGCAATAGAGGCTGGGCAAAGGTAAGGTACCATTTTGATCTGCGTGCTGTCGGTCAGCTGCTGGACGGTGTAGGCATCCTCTGTGTTGTACTGCAGCAGGATTGCCATCTGGAACGTTGATGCCTTTGAAGCCCCATACACAGAAAAGAGAAGAAACATTTAAATGGCGTGGAAAAAACTCCAAATACAGAACATCAGTGTGAAAAATTTATAAGAGAAATTCTTCAAACAGATGCAAAAAATAAAGTGAAGCAAGGCAACGTTTTTCTGGAAGAGAAGCCTACGTTCCCCACCTTTCCATACTTTAAAGTGAATTTTCTTCTTAAGAGTGTCATCTACGAGAACACATACACACACGGATCAGGTACCACGCACCTGGTAGGTTCCCATGCACCATGCACCCACACTCAGGTCGGTCTGTTTCTGCACAAACTCTGAGGAGAACTGTCTTTGATATACTGCCAACCTGAAACAACCTGTGTGTTTGGGATGGACTGAACTGTGTCCCCCAGATACATGTTGGAAACCTAGCCCTGTACCTGTGGGGGTAATCCTGTCTGAAAATAGGGCTCTTTGCTGTGTTGATTAGATCATACCTAAGGTGGGCTCTAAACCGAATCCCTTCTGAGTTATTAAAGAGCTAACTGGAAGAGAGACACCCACGGGGTAAGAGTGATGCCGTGTGAGGGTCACCTGCAAGCCAAGGAATGCGTGGGCTACCCAAAGGGAAGGAACCGACCCGGCTGGTACCGATAGGACTTTCAGCCTCCAGAAATATGAAACAATAAATTTCTGTCCTTGAAGCTCCCCATGTGTGGTATTTCTGTTACAGCAGCACTTGGAGTCTCAGAGTGTAGAACAACATCACACTTGGTGTCTTATCAGAAGTCTTTGACTACCTAACATTCGAAACCATTCACAAGTGAACCCAAAGTGCTCTGAGGAGTCTCACCAGCTGTGCACAGGCAGCACGCTCACTCCTGCTCCTCTCGACGCCTTCCCCATTTTCCCAGGGCCCCCTTCTCCCCCTCCTCACCTCCAGTTCACAGCAACAATCGACGACCACGAACATCATCACTTGCCTGGGCTGACCTGGGCCACAAGGGTGCGGTACAGTGAATTACTCTTGTATGGCCCTTTTAGCCATGGACTTGTGACACCCACAAAAATGATTGGGTGAGTCTATGCATATAAGGTGCTTGTGGCCCATCAAGGGAATTGGACAGCCTGCTAATAAGGTAGTCCCTAATTTACGACAGGGTTTGTTCCGATGACTCCATCATAAATAGGTCCTGACGTAAGTCAAATACCTCATTTTTCTGGTTTTCATTACTATTGCCTTCTATTATCAGTATCTTTATAAAATTCGATCTTTATTTGGGGTTGGAAACATTAGCTATAAACTTACAGGTATGTTTTAATACATGTTGTTGTTAGGTGCCATCAAGTTGGTTCCCACTCATAGCGACCCTATAACAGAACAAAACATTGCCTGGTCCTGCGTCATCCTCACAGTCATTGTTATGCTTGAGCCCACTGTTTCAGCCACTGTGTCAATCATCTCGTTGAGGGTTTTCCTCTTTTTCACTGACCCTCTACATATATACATAAAAAACACACAAATCCTAAAAATTTACTCTGATGATGAAGAAAAGTTGGATGATGTAGGCATTTTGTCAGTTGTGGTAATAACCCCCACTTGTGGACGGTTCTGGACCATCTGGATTATCCCTGAGAATGGGATGGCGTTTCTAGTCAGGAATTTAGTGAGAGTTGTGTGTATAGTGCTTTTCTTTTGTTCTTCGTATATTTCGAGGTACCATCTCACTACTTCCTGAACTGCCTATCAACTTTCACAAAGCAATCAGCATTTGAGTCCACGTTTTCAAGCAACCTAAGCCCCTGATTTAATCTAGAAAACTAAATCTATACAACAGCGTTTTGAACAGTAATTCATGAAATCAAACCTCTGCGAGGAACATCTGAGAATGAAAACATCAGCAAACTGCACACTGCAACATTGTTTGCAGTACATATTACCAATGATAAGATGTACAAAATATACTCAAGGTCATATTTTGGTTCTCGTGGACTTGCTCTAATTTTCTTCAGCTTCAACCTGAACTTGCATAAGAGCAATTGATGGTCTGTTCCGCAGTTGGTCCTTGGCCTTGTTCTAACTGATGATATTGAGCTTCTCCATTGTCTCTTTCCACCAATGAAGTCAATTTGATTCCTGTATATTTTATCTGGTGAGGTCCACTCATATAGTGGCCATTTATGTTGTTGGAAAAAAGTATTTGCAAAGAAGTCATTGGTCTTGCAACATTCTATCATAGGACGTCCAATGTTAAAAAGCAAGTATGTCACTTTGAGGACTAAGGTGTGTCTGACTCAAGCCATGGTATTCTCAATCACCTCATAAGCATTTGAAAGCTGGACAATAAGTAAGACAGAAAAAGAATTGTTGCCTTTGAATTACGGTGTTGGCTAAGTACACTGAATACACCATGGACTGCCAGAAGAACAAAACAAATCTGTCTTCGAAGAAGTACAGCCAGAGTGCTCCTTGGAAGCCACGACGGCGAGACTTCATTTCATGTACTCTGGACATGTTGCCAGGAAGGACCAGTTCCCGGAGAAGGACATCATGCTTGGTAGAGGGTCAGTTAAAAAGAGGAAGATCCTCAAGGAGATGGACTGACACAGTGGCTGCAACCATGGGCTCAAGCAAAACAACGATTTTGAGGGTGGTGCAGGATTGGGCAGTATTTCATTCTGCTGTACACAGGGTCACTATGAGCTGGAGCCGATTTGACAGCACCTAACAAAAACAGCAACATCCCACCCCCCACCCAAAAAAATGGATAGTCAGTAAGTGTCGTTCATTGTAACTTAAATACACCGTAAGTCAGAGACTACCTGTAATGCAAATAAGGCGCATGGAACCCTCGCTGGGATGGGACTATGCAAATAAAGTATATGTAGAGGATTGGTCAGTTTTGCTATTCCACTAGGTTTAAAAAGATCCAATCCCAGAGAGATGGGAGACCTCACTATCATCAACAAAAGCCAGGAGCAGAGCACATCCTTTGGACCCAGGGTCCCTATGCTGAGAACCTCCTAGGCCCAGGAGACAGACAAAGCTGTAACACCAGAGATGGCAAGAAGCAGCGGCAAGAACTTCTGGGCAACATGGTGCTATAGTCAGAAGCACCATGAGGTCCCTCTGCAGCAAAGATCAGAAAAACTAAGTCAAACAGAGTCACACATCAAATCCTGAAACCCTAAGCATCAAATGAAGAGATAAAGAACTCAGCCAAGCACCTAATGGAAAAAGAAACTGACCGAGAACAGAGAGTGGGGAGAGATACATTCAGAGGTTCCCTATCAGCTACTGCAGCATGGATACAGCATCTTGGACTCCTATCGGAGATCAGTGAACAGGGGGTACGAGAAAGCAGCCTCACGTAGCTTCCAGCAGGAGACAGAACAACTGGTAACCAGCGATATAGGCTTTCCCACCCACCACCCTTCTTCACCCCCACTTATCCTCCTCTGCTTCCTGTAGCCACAGTCTCTTGGCCGGGAAGCACCAGCTTCACCCCGGTGTCACTTGGATTCCACTTGCCCGCACTGGCCGGCTCCCTAAGTGCCTTTTGTTGGCTGCTGGTGTTGCTTTTTTCCGCTTCTTTAGATTTCTTCCTCACCTCTCACCACCTCCCCCTCCTTTTTCTCAAATACCTGGCTCTGTGCACCATCTTTGCTTCTTCCCGAAAGGCTGCGAAACACCGCTCGACTGTGAAACTGCTTCCCAAACTGTGCCGCCACGCTAGTGGGACCTCTGGACTTTTCTGTTTGCTCTGATTTGTTCTGTTTTGATTTGTTTGTTTTTTCTTTTCTCGGCTTGGGAGCCCCTTCTAGCCGGGTGGTACTGCGCAGCTTGGAAGCCACTCCCTTACTCCGCGCAGATACACAGGGACATCCCTGGGGGCATTTCCTTCTCGTTTTTTTTTTTTTCCTGTTTGTTTCTTTGTTTTGTTTTCTTCTCTCTTATTCCCTTTTTGTCTTTCTTCATTTCCAGTTTCTCGATTCATTCATTTTTTTTTTTTTACCCTTTTTCTTTTTTTGTTTTTCCCCATCTCAGTCTCTCATCTCTCTACTCCAAAAGCAAGCTCCCTTAGCACTCTTTCTTGTTTGTATGTTTTTGGCTCTTGTTCCTCTCTCCTCTCTCCTCTTTCCCATACTCATCTTAGCTCCACACATCACAACCTACCCCCTCCTTCCTGCCTACCTGCACCGTGTGCTGAACATCACACTCCCAAGCAGCACAGGCATGGCCTACTGGCACCTGTCCTGCACTGATTCCCAGTCCGCGCTGTCAGCCCTGGTATGTGCCACAAACAACCCATCCCAGCAACTCCCCTTAAGCTGGACCTGCTCTGCTGTACCATACCTGACTGACCCCGCCCACTGGAGAAGGAGGTGAAAAGTATCGTGCCCACAGACAAGCCAACAACAAAGAACACGCAGCCCGCCTGCTCAGATGTAACAAAACAAAACAAAAAAGCGGGACGAAACAAACAAATCTACAATAAATAAATAAGGAAAATAACCACTGAATGCCCCAAAAACAGCAGACAATATCAAAACATTTACAAAAACAGGTCAGGATGGTTCCAGTAGGCATCCAAAATAAAACTAGATGACTTTCCTGTAGAAGAAAAGGCACTAGACCTAACTGATAGGGAATTTAAATCTCTAATATTCAGAATTATCCAAGAGTTGAAGCAAAAAGCAGACAACAATGAGGAAAAAATAGACAAATTCATGGAAAATACAGACAAAAAAATGGAAAAATTCAAGAAAATATAATACAGGAACAAAATCTAAAATAAATTCACAACTAGAAATCATACAAAAATAACAATTAGAAATCCAAAAGAGAAACAACAAGATTTCAGAAACGGACAGTGTCACACAAGGGCTGAGGAGCAGATTTGAAACGATGGAAGACAGGATCAGCGAAATTGAAGACACTTGGATACAACTCTAAGGAAAAATCAGAAAAAGAACGAAAAAAAAATGAAGAAACCCTGAGAATTATGTGGGATACAATCAAAAGCAAAAATTTGCGAGTGATCGGAGTTCCAGAACAGGGGGAGAAAACACAGAGAACATCACTGAAGAACTGCTGACAGAAAACTTCCCCGATATCATGAAAGATGAAAAGGTGACCATCAAAGAAGCTCAATGAACCCCATATAGGATAGACCCCAAAAGAAAATCACCAAGGCATATCATAATCACACTCGCTAAAACCAAAGACAAAGAATCCTGAGAGCAGCTCAAGAAAAACAAAAAGTCACATACAGAGGAGAAACAATACGATTAAGCTCAGATTATTCAGCAGAAACCATGAAGGCAAGAAAGCAATGGGATAACATATATAAAACCTTGAAAGAAAAAAATTGCCAGCCAAGAGTATATCCTGCAAAACTCCTGTTCAAATATGATGGTGAAATTAGGTCTTTTCCAGATAAACAGAAATTAAGGGACTATGTAAAAACCAAACCAAACTGACAAGACTTATTAAAGGGAGTCCTTCGATCTGAGAACAAACAACGTCAGACCACAGGCTGAATCCAGGACACAGGATTGTACTAGCCAGATACCAACCTAGGAAATGAACTCTTAAGGACTATGCAAAACCAAAAGAATTACAACAGGGAAGCAGAGAGATTAATCTGTAAATGACAACAGCATCAGAACAATAAAAGAGGGAATAAATGGTGTAGGTATAGAACCCTCTAATGGAGAGGAAAGCAAGGCGATACCAAGTGATAATAGACTGGTTCAAATCTAGGAAGATAAGGGTAAATTCCAAGGTAACCACAAAGAAAGTTAATAAACCTACTCAACAAAACAAAGAAGAAAAACATAAAGCCTCAGTAAAAACAAAACCTACAAAAACAAATGGAACAACAAAAACCAAAAAACAAAAAACCCACAAACAAAAGGAACTCAGCACAGGAGAGTAAGGGGAATAAAGAAAATTTCAGTACCACAAAAAAAAAGCACTGCAAAATGCAATCCCACTCCTAGGAATATATCCTAGAGAAATAAGAGCTGTCTGTCACACAAATAGACGTATACACACCCATATTCACTGCAGCACTGTTCACAATAGCAAAAAGATGGAAACAACCTAGATGCCTATTAACGAATGAATAAACGATGGTACATACACAGTGGAGTACTATGAAACGATAAAGAACAATGATGAATCTGTGAAACATCTCATAATATGGATGAAACTGAAGGACATTATGCGGTGTGAAATAAGTTAATCACAAAAGAAGAAATATTGTATGAGACCTCTACTGTATAACTCATGTAAAAGTTTACACACAAAAAGAAACAATCTTTGCTGATTACGAAAGATGGGGGCAGCGGGGACTAAAAAGACAACAGATTAAGTGCTAACTTTAGTGAAGGCTAAGGCAGTACACAGTACTGGAGAAGCCAGCACAACTTGTACAAGGAAAAGTCATGGAAGCTCCATAGACACTTCCAAACTCCCTGAGGGACTGAACTGCTGGGCAGAGGGCTGTGGAGACCATGGTCTCGGGGAACATCTAGCTCAACTGGCATAACATGGTTTATAAAGACAATGTTCTACATTCTACCTTGGTGAGTAGCGTCTGGGGTCTTAAAAGCCTGTGAGCAGCCATCTAAGATACTCCATTGGTCTCACCACTTTGGGAGCAAGGGAGAATGAAGAGAACAAGATACAAGGAAAAGACTGGTCCAAACAGCTACCATGGCCTCCACCAGACTGAGTCCAGTACAGCTAGATGGTGCCCAGCTACCACCACTGACTGCTCTGACGGGGATCACAACAGAGAGTCCTGGACAGAGCTGTAAAAGGATGTAGAATAAAATTCTAACTCAGATTTACTGGCCTGACAGACCAGAGAAACCCCAAGAGTATGGCCCCTGGACACCCTTTTAGCTCACTAGTGAAGTCACTCCTGAAGTTCACCGTTCAACTGGGGATTGGATAGCCTCATAAAACAAAATGGGACTAATGAGGCACAGCAGTCCAGGGACAAGGACTAGAAGGCAGGAGGGGACAGAAAAGCTGGTGATAGGGAACCCAAGGCTGAGAAGGGACGGTATTGACATGTCGTGGGGTTGTTAACCATTGTCACAGGGCAATGTGTGTACTAACGGTTTAATGAGAAACTATTTGTTCTACAAACCTTCATCTAAGGTACAAAAAAAAATTATGAGCTCAAACTGACAATGGCAACTCAAAAGGTTTGATGGGAAGCCCAGGGGACAATGAGTTGAAGATAATGATGATGGAATAATTTGGAAAAGGATAGTGAGAATAGCAGCACAACTGGAAGCACGTAATCGATGTCACTGAATTGTACATGTAGAAATTTCTGAAATGGTGTATCTTTGGCTACGTATATTTTCACCAAAAGAAAAAAAGGGTCCTCCAAGGTCAAGAAGGGAAAGTGTTGACATGTCGTGGGGTTAACCAATGTCATAAAACAATATGTGTACTAACTGTTTAATGAGAAACTATTTGTTCTGTAAACCTTCATCTAAAGTACAATTAAAAAAAAAAAAGCGGCAGGAAGTACGGCAGGGTGCAGCAGCAGAGAAACGGCAGCAGGAGAACCAGGTGACTGGCGTGAGATGACACAGTGGGCCACTTCCCAGCCCGCTGAACAACGTGGCTACAGTGGATGCGCCGACCTGCAAGTGAGAGAGCTGAGAGCCTTTGGGCAGGAGACCTTCTGGTGGAGTAGGGCGCCTCCGGGCACTTGTTGGCAGAGCGAAAAGGCCAGAACACTTGCCCAAGCAGGGCAGAGGCTGGGGCGAGCGTGAGGGCCAAAGGCTGAGACAGCGGCCTGCCTGCGGACATGGACAAGCTGTCCTGATCGAAGAACTATTTCCTGAGTTGTTCCTGTTAACTCCAAGTCGATCCTGATCCTGAACTGTAACCTGTTACTTCCCTAATAAACCCTATAATTGCTGCATATGGTCTGTGAGTTCTGTGTGGCCACTGCGATCAATTATCAAACCCAGCAGAGAAGTAGAGAGTGCCGTGGGAGGGATGGCTGGTATCACAACTGGAAAAAAGTCTGGAGAGGAGGTATGTCTGACCTCCACCTCATAGGGATCAGCTTTGGGCTGACACCAATCCTGATTCTCCTTCCCCACACACCTGAAATGAGAGCGGGTCTGACGCCACCACGCCATTTTTACAAAGAGCCAGCAGTAATGCCGGGTGTGTGTGAGGACAGTGGGGACATCAGGCTCCTGGCAGGACTTGGGGTTTCCAGCTGGCAAACTAACGCGGAAGGAGGAAGCCAGAGAGAGGCTCTCCTGCACTCTGGGTGGCACGACCCTGAAGGTGGGGCTCGGAAGCCACAGGCAGCAGTAGCTCCCTCTTCACCGTCACGACAGTGACCAAAACCAGCCTGGAGAGGCGCTGAGCCGCGGTGGTGACAGTGCACACAGCACGTCACAAGCCATTGCGCACTTACGATGGGTGTGTTTCATTGTGTGCAATTATCGCCATAAAGCTGACACACGTTTTTAAAAGAATCAAAGAAACACACAAGGAAAAGCACACCGTTCGTGCCTTTAATGACGGGGGGCCAGCAAGTGGCCGACGCTGCACACGCCTGCGCTCACTGGGCAGAAACAGGCCCTGATTTCAGGTACTAGAGTTTGTACAGTAGTGTATGCACGCACGTACTCTTCTGCACATCGGAGGGAAAAATAAAGCAAAACTTCAACCGTATGGTAATACGAATTCAATTACTTCACATTCACGTTTACAACGTCTGTACCCAGAGTTACAGAAGAGGAAACGTTTTAACCCCTTTATCAGAGTAAATCCTGAAAGTGGAAATGAATGAGCATCTCCAGCCTGCAGAACCTCATCTGCAGTGGAAACCTCAAACGTGAAAACAAAGCCACGTTCTCAGCATTATTTCATTTAGTTTTCAGGCCTCCCCCAAAATATCCACATTGACACCCCGTTTTATGGGGGAGGGAGGAGGGGCACAGAGTCACTGAGGAACTTGGCCTTGGCTACTCAGCCAGAAAGAAGGAGAATTCAGGTCACCTGACCCTCAAACCCAGGCTGTCAGCCTCAAACTATCCTATCAGAAGCCTGACTCTGGACCTGCTCCATGAACCCCCTCAATCGCGCTCTCTACTATTTGTCTTACGTTCATTTGGACTTAAAAAGTGCTTTAAAAAAGAAGGTGACCTTACCTGCAAGGTGTATCTGTTCTTGAAACAGTTGGTTACCAATTCCCCTTTGGACAGCTGATATAGCCATGTCAACTTTCTGCCACTGTGCCGGCTGGCGTAGAAGGCTGTGAACCGCTGGTAACTCCGCTCCAGCTGCAGAGGGGAACACGTCACGGAGAACACACACCCTCCACAGTCCACGGACCCATCACAGAGAACATGCACCCCTCCACCGTCTATGGACCCCGTTTCTGAGTAACACGCGGTTCCAAGTTCACATACGAAGTCTCGGCGAATACCAACACCATCAGACTCTTGTGAAGCACTTTAACGTGCGCTGGAAGGAACAGCCAGGAAGGTCCGTGCCCCCAGATGCGGGGTGCCATCGCCACGTTCACTACAGGACGAGCCAGCTTCTGGTTACAGAAGGATGCTGCCCTGCTGAGCAAGGCCCACCCTCCCGCTCCCCCAGGGCCCGGCCCGCCCCTCACCTCCGAGGGCAGCGCGAAGGTGCAGGACTGCTGGAAGGGCCAGGACCCGGAGCTCAGGACCTGGATGCTGAAGTCCACTGCAGGGCAGACACGCCAGTCAGCGGCCGGACCCACTGCCCAGACCCACCACCCACTGCTCATTCACACAAGGTGCAGTTCCTGAAAAATCCTGCTGAACATATAACACTAACAAGTTCAACCACTTCTCACCTTAATCAGAATCAGAAATGTTTTGCTCCAGAGAGTTCCCGTCCCTTCTAACACGTCTGACAGACCATCTCCTCCTTCACCCCGTGATATGGACTGAAATGTGTCCTCCAAAAATACGAGTTGTGAATCATAACCTCTATGCCTGTGGTTATAGTTCCACTTGGGAATGGGTTGTCTTTGTTGAGTGTGGGGTGTATCTTGAGTCAATCTCTTAGAGATATGAAAGAGACTGAATACAAGCTAGCAAAGAGAGATGGGGGAAGAGATGCCAAGCACATGAAGGTCGCCCAGGAGCAGCTCAGAAGAGACAAGGTCCTTCCTCCAGAGCCGACAGAAAGAGAAGCCTTCCCCTAGAGCTGGCACCCTGACCTCGGACTTGTAGCCTCCTAAACTGTGAGAAAACCCACTTCTATTTGTTAGAGCCGTCCAGCCGTGGTCTGTTAGAGCAGCACGAGACACCAAGACACCACCCTTCCTCTGGCTCGAGGGCCTGAGCACCAAGCCCAGGAATGCTTTCTGCACTGACACTCACAGTCGAGGGGCTCTGAGTTGGTCAGGTGCTTCTTGAACTGCTCGTTCAGGTCCTTGCTCACGCCGATGTCCTGGAACATGCGCTGGAGCTTGGAGGTGTACTCAAAGCCACAGGCTTGCTGAAACACACCCAGACAATGTCTCGTTACCATAGACACGGGCGTGCAGACGGACGCGGTGGTCCTGTAGATGGTGTGTGCAGGAGGCAAGAGGGAACCTCAGTGTCTGGCACAGGGGCTCTCCCGGGGTCAATGAGGAAGCCGCTGAGCATTTACTTGTTTAAAAAAGGAGGAGGATACAACTGGAAATGCAATTTTACAAAGATGTGGTAACTGTACAGAATTTGGGGGGGCCAGAGGTCAGCAGGATCACTTAGAATGAGGAAGCGGGTAAGGGTCATGGACAGGGGCCGTGGGGGGTCACCAGGAGAGCAGCTGGAGGGGGAGCAGCTCAGTCTAGATATGACGTGACTGGGGTGGGCGGGGTGGCTGCCAACACACAAGGTGGTTTTGTGTGAGCATTGGGGGTACTGTCCAGGGAGGGGCTGCCGACATGCTGGGGGGCCACTGCCTGGGAGGGGTGAACATAGGAGGAGCCACTCCCAGCAGTGGGGTGACATTGTCCCCCGCGGACCGACCCGCCCCCAACCCATGCGCACCCCACCTTCAGCTTGGAGATCATGCTAGCCTCGGCGTCGTCGCTCGCGCTGTTCTGGTGCACCAGGCGCTTGGCCAGCATCTTTGCATAGAACTTCTGGAAGACGTCCTTGTCCTCGATGTACTTGAAGACGACCATCTAGCGGAGCCGCCACAGGATACACTGAATTCCCACGCCTCGCAGCACGCCGCCCACCGCACAGCCCTATCCCGTCCCACACCCAGGGGGAGCGCTGCTCATGCTCTTCAGAGTGAGCGTCTGTCAGCCCCTCCGGGCACGTACGCGGGTCTAGACTAGGACTAATGAGGGAAGCAGACGGTGAAATTAACGACCAGTGTGGGAAGCAGAGCCACGAGCTCTCACAAAGTGACTCCACCACTGTGCATACACAACACCCCACACACCCACCTGTGACAACTACAACCACGGGCCGTCACTAAGCACCTTACCACTTGGTTCAGCGTGTCTTCCAGCTCTGCCTCTTCTGGGTTCTTGGAGCTGAAATTTAGAAAAAGGCACCGTTTTAAAACCAACCGGCCAACATTTAATGAACATGTCGCAGTTAGCCAAATTAGCATACCAGAATGTGGTCGCTTCTCTCCAGACCGGTACGTGGGGAGCGGGCAGGTCAAGGTTTCTCACCTACAGCCATGTGGCAAGCTTCTTTCAACCCCATCAGGGTAGAAGAACTCAGGCAGTACCCACTCAGCACATCAAAGGCCAAAATTAACACAAGGGATTTATAGAACGTTCCCAAGAACCTTCTGATGAAGTTTTCCTTTTAGACATTCTGTGTAATTCTACATAAGCAAATGAGCTTCCCTTTTCAAACTGCTTTCTACAATCTGCTTTAACTTTGGGGAAAAAAACCAAAATGGCACACCAGTAGCTTTCTTTTCATAGTCTGAGAATTAAAAATAATGAAACAGTTTAAACTACAAGTGTGGCCTCCATTTGTAGGTATGTCCACCAAAGGGGACTGTCCTATAACGACTGACTTGTTCACGCAAATGAATGTCTCAGGTTTTACTGCTCCACCTGAAGTGACCTGGCCCCGGACAAGCTCCGTCAAGGTTCTGCTTTGTAAGAATAACAGTCGGCTGTGAAAATTCAGCCCCCAACAGCCTGCACTGCTCCTCTCCCCACGTGCTGGGAAGCGCTGGACACCCAGGCTGCCTGTCCCGGTAGCAGTCTGCATTCCCCTTCAGCAGCATGTGCTCCCCGCGGTCACGCTTGGAAATGTCTCTGTTGTTCCAGCGGCTTCAGGAGCCCAACTAGGAAACAATCTCTTGAGAGATGTGTCTTTAATGGATAAAGCGGATGCGGGTATTTGGCCAAACTGAAGCCCTGACAGAATGCCTCCACATTTCACAATGCTTAAATTCATACCACCACAGCCTGAAAGCATGAAATCGAGTGGTCAGAGGGATTCCAATCTAAAGTCCCTTTCCATTCACGGAAACAGTGCACCAGAGGCTCTGACTACAGCCGCTCGATCGTACGGCCCGCCAGCGTCACCAAGTACTCAGGCTGTAAACTCGCCATCCCGGCCAGCGGCCTTCTGGCAGGTCGGGAGAACTATGGGACTCCCCGGGTGGCACAGACGGTTAAGCGCTCAACTAGTACCTGAAAGGCTGGCAGTTCAAACCCACCCACCCTTGAGAGACAGGCCGGGCGATCTGCTTCCAAAAGATCACAGCTAAGAAACTCTACGGAGCAGTTCTACTCTGCACTCGTGGGGTGGCCGTGAGTCGGAACTGACTCGATGGCACCTAACAACAACGACAGGAGCTGTGTACCTTTATCAAGTGTCTTCCCGTCATCCTAGGAGGATGACCACTGGTTTTCCAGTGTTCTCAGTTTGCATCATGAACTAGGTGGGATTTGCTGCTGTTGAGCTATCCTTACATTCTACAACACTACACAATGTTTTGATGAATTTTTAAAATTCACCGACAAATTTGACTTTCTAATATCTTAGCAACACTGACAGCACCTGCGTGGTACTCCTCACGTAGACCTGTCTTTGGTCTTTTTATTCTAGGAGTGTGTCCTCTGTGACTATTTCTGACGGGGGTGTGCTAACTTCAGAGCGCTGCTTAAAACACAATTCATTAGTATTAAGCCCAGTATTGCCTGGGGCATGAGAAATGGCTGCCGTGGAAAACCACAGGGGACTGTCCCCTCATCAAAGTCTTTGCTGACACGATGTTGGGGACAGAACACTCATCCCTGAGCATTTCTGAAGAACTGGAGGAAACAGGTGAACTGAAAGCGAAGCCAAGGAAAACCCGCCATACAGAACGGGGAGAAGGTCAGAGCCCAGGGGAGGGAGGAGGCCCCACCCCGGTGCACATAAACTGGTTAGAAACGTCGGCTGAGGACGAAGGTCGTTAAAAAATAAATGAATATAAAAAATATATATACACCTGTATAATTAATTGGAAGATCCATATTTACAGAATTAATCTTGCACTAAAGTGGAAGGAATGTTCATTCTGACACCACCCAGCAACAGAAACCACAAAGATGTTCAAGCATTCTGGCCCCAAGAAGACCATGCCATTTGCAGGTAAACAGACACATTCCTGGTCACAGGATGGCCGTGCTACCTGCGCCTAACAGAGGCCCCTTCTTCTTACCCCCTTCCCTTCCTCCCATGAAATCCAGCAGGATAACCCTCTGGTCTAGGATATGGAGAACCCGAGTTCCTTTGTCTTCCACCTACGATACATCGAGGGTGTGCATAGAGGAGGCTACCTTATCATCTCACCCTGGGATGAAGGTCCGAGGAAGACCACCCTATGATCCACCCTACCCAGTTCTTCATCCTAATTGTTGTGTAATAAAGCTTGTGATCATGCAAAAAAAAAAAAAAAAAGTTAAGAACGTACATCATGTAGAGTAAGATAAATCAATTACAAAAGGACAAATATTGTATGACCTCACTTACATGAAATGACAAAAATAGGCAAATGTATGTTAGAGGTCAAAATTTATTAGTCGCTACCACAGGCGGGAGGGTGGAGCCCTGGTGGGGCAGTGGTCAAGAGCCACGGCTGCTAACCAAACAGTTGGCAGTTGGAATCCACCAGATGCTCCTTGGAAACCCTATGTGGCAGTTTTAGTCTGTCCTACAGGGTCACTATGAGTCAGAACAGACTCGATGGCAATGAGTAGGGGTGGCAGAGGGGGGAAGTGGGAGTCACCGCTTATGGAGTACTAAGTTTCGGTTTATGGTGATGGAAAAATCACCGATTGAGGGCTGCACAGCTGATTAATGTAACTGATGTCAGTAAGTTGTACACCTGTAAAAAGCTGAATTGGCAGAGGTTGTGTGAGAGATGTATTTCTTAACAACAACAAAAAAGAATAGCTGCTGAGGCTGCTTATGTATAATCAAACACCTCACGGGATTTAGTTCCTTGGTTTGGAGGCTAAAGGTCATGGTTTATGGGACATCCCAGCTAAGTGGCCTAATAACATTATTTAGTGCTTCTGCTCTACCTCCTAGTTCCTTGCACAGTGCCTGGGGTCTTAAAAGCTTACAAGTGGCATCCAAGGCACATTCATCTGGAAGAACAGAGGAAAAAGGAAAGTCAGGAAGGGAAGGAGAATATGGAATGTGTGGCCAACTGCCTCCTTTGTCGTGAGACCAGAAGAACTGGGTGGTGCCTGGCCATCATTACTGGATACTTTGATCGCAGATTTTATAGAAGAATCCTGACCAAAAGGGGAAAAAGGCAGAACACAGAACTTCAAATTCTCATGGACTCCAGACTTTTCCAGAGCCATGAAGGTTAGATGAAGCCCTGAGAAACTATGGCCCTGAGAGAATCTTGAAACCAAAATCATCCTCTGACGTCTTCTTAAAACCAATTAATAGTTTAGCTTAACTAGTGAAGAATGTCTGCCTTCAGCATTGTGCTCTTCTAAGAACTATCTATGTGAGATCAAAGTGACAAGGGCAACTCGAAAGATTAGACAGGAACCTTAGGGGGCAGTGTGTTTACGTTAATGAGGGAGGAACAACTCAGAAAGGAGGGTGAGAACGGTTGCACTACTCCAAAGAATACAATCAGTGTCACTGAGTGGTACATGCAGGAACTGTTGAACTGGTGTATGTTCTGCTGTGTACATTCTCAGAAACAATAACAAAACAAATCTAAAAATTTAAAAAAAAAAAAGGTAAGAACACGAAACAGCAATGCAGCAAGCTCATCAGTGTGAAAATGTGTCTTAAGGCCTGTGGAATCAGTGTCCCTGCCCTGTGCTTCCGGCGCTGTCCCATCAGCAGACACTCGAGAGTCTCGCCTGGATGGTAACCAGGAAAACGAGAGCCACCTCCACCCTCAGTGACAAGCGGTCTGACCCAGGACCCGGACTTCCTCCAGCTGACAGTCCCGTGGCTGTTAGGGAGGTAAGAGAAACTAACTAGGCAAGTGACACAGAAGCCCCTTCAGGAAGGCAAGGAGGTATTTTAGGCTTAAAGAATCTTCTCGAAAGGCACACAAAAAACTTAACGTGCCTTTTAATCCCTCTGTAAAAGCTGCAACTTTAAACCGGTTTCCTGAGAAATCAACGAGAGCGCTCAGTACCTTTTCTTCAGCAAAGAGTCGCAGTAGCGCGCCAGCAGCTCTGGGGACTTGCTGGATGACTGTGCCATCTTGGTCACCGCGTTGTTGTTGATGAAGCGGCCACAGGCCTGTGGGTGCAGGGGGTCCAGTTAGGGGGCATTCCACCCACGGGAGCCCCACACAAGCCCAGGAGCGCCCACCCACCTTATCAAGCGCGGCCACGAAGCCAGCATCGTTGTTGAAGGCGGACATTACCAGGGCGTTGTACTTCTTGTGCACATCCAGAACGGTCTGCACATACATTTTGGGGTCCTGAAAGCAGGGACAGCAGAGGTCAGTTACTGAGGGCTACACTGCACACCCCAGAGCTGCTGAAAGAGGTCCCAAAGCCTAGGCACTTCTTGTAAGAAATGAACAGTCCAGATCAAGGAACAGGCACCATCACTGAAAACAGTGCATTTCATGTATATGCACGTAATAAAGAAAAACTCAATATTCTCTGCACTTGAAGTTAAATACTGATTTCAAGCTTGCATTAAAAACAGTGATTTTTTAAAATTATCTGACAACTTAAAAAAATCATATAAAACAGTATTTTCAAAGTGACAGCTGTGTTTAGCCAATTTTTTATCCAAACCACCAAATCCATTGCCACTGAGTAGATTCTGACCCAGAGTGGAACTACCCCATAGGGTTTCTAAGGAGGGGCTGATGCATTCGGACTCGAACTGCTGACCTTTTGGTTGGCAGCCGAGCTCTGAACCACCATGCCCCCAGGGCTCCAATCTCTTACAGCAGGTGCTAAAACTTCCCATTCTGTGCTCTGTCTGGGAGTGGAAGCCAGCCCTGGTCTCTGCCACACAGTCTCTGCTGTGCAGGGTCTGAACATGCCCACTGAGGCCTGTGTGGGACTGGTGGGTGGGAGCAGAGGGCTGGAGGATGGCAGCAGACCTGGGGTCCCGATGGGGAACAGAGCCTCTAGACAAAGGGCAGACCGGACGCTCAGCAACGGGGGCTGGCAGGACTCAGAAGGGAGCTGCTGAGCCCCCACAGCCGGTCACCACAGCCACACCACTGGAGACACCGCTCTGCCCCAGGTTACAGGCAAGAAAACCGAGTCCCGTTGGGCACCTTGCCCCGCACGCGGGTGGGCAGGCAGGCCCAGCCCTGGGGTGATCAGAAGACCTCCAACACAGTTGTGGACGGAGCCAGGCAGGAGGTTGTCCAGGACATCGACTCAGCATGACCAGGAGCAGCTGCAGGGACCCTGCTCCCCGCTCCCCTTCACGAACAAGAGGCCCGTGGCGCAGGACGGGAAACGGTTTCCTTACGTTTCCACAGTCCTGACAGATACTAACTTCATACCAAATATATGATGGCTTCTTCTTGTTAGTTGCCGTCAAGTTGCTTCGACTTACAGTGACCCCGTGTGTGCACAGCGGGACTGCACCACAGGGTTTTCAAGGCCCTGATCTTTCACCAAGCCTATCTTCCAGGGTGCCTCTGGGTGAGTTTGAACCACCAACCTTTCAGCTAGGGGTCGAGCGCTTAACCATTTGCGCCACCCAGGGACTCCATATAACAGTTTACACAAAAAGATTAAAGCAAAAACGGCTTCACCAATCTACTCCTCTCTCTGTACCTTACGACACGACAGACTCACCTGAAAACTCACTTCAGGGATGTGAACCTGCTGTCTGTGCAGGGGACCAAGGTCCCAGTTAGCACTGCAGAAACACCTCACGTTCTCCAGGTGTCGCACCAGGAGGACCCCCGAACCACGCGCGTCTGCGCGCTTACGTGTGTGTGTATGGGTATATGTATACCATGTGTTATGTATGTGTATTCATCTGGATGTGTGTACGTTCACAGCATGTGTACTTATGTGGTGTATGTATAATCATGCATGTGTGTGTACATCTGTATATGTATGTGTGTGTGTTTGTATGTGTGTATATGTATATGCGTGATGTATATCAGGCGTTTAAGAAGGAACATTCAGTTTGAAAATAAGGAAAACCGTCAAGACGTAAGGATAATTCAGGCAAATTTTTAAGTGAAGGGGAACCGCACGCAGCGCTGAGAGGAGCCGTGTGCGACCACAGCCCCACTGCTGCTGTGAGCACTTTTGTGGACTTCCTCATGGGTGCTCTAGGAAGGGTGCCATCACCACCCCGTTTCCTCAGACGGCTGACACAGGCAGGCCAGCAGGTGGCCAGGGTGACATGTCGGGGAGGAAGACTGACCCGCCCCCGGGTGGCCTGTGCCCTCGCACTAGCAGCACTGTGGACGCCAGCCAGAAGCTCAGGGTCCACTGAGACCAAGGGTTCTTTTTCACAAAGCCCAATGCTAAGCCAGTTCCTTCCCATTCGCAAGTGTAACACTGTTTTACAAACCTAAAGGTAGGGCTTTACCTCTGTCCCTCTAGTAATTTACATTTCAACATTCATAGGCAATGTCAAAGGGCTTTGGGGCACTATGAAATCTGCTTCCACCACCTCGTCCCTCCAAATTTTTTAATACCTGAAAATCTTCCTTTATCTTAACACCTGCAAAGATGCAGTAACAAATGAAGCAGCAGCTGCCATGATTAAAAATACAAAAAGGGGCCTTCCAAATGACACCAGAGAAAGAGGGATTTGATAGCCATGCTAAATACATTATTGCCCGATAATTAACACCAAGCACAGGGAAGCCAGAAAAGGACGTTTTCTGAGTCAGACGTGAGAACCAACTGTGTTCCAGAAGCTTTTCTTTCCCATGAGTTCTCCCAAACACAATTCAAGCTGACCTCTGCAGCAGGAACAAACAGACCACAATCCCATCTCCTAGCGAAGGCAGTGCCTCCCACTGAGGGTAAACCCTCACCGAGTCCGAGAGCCCTGCAGGCACATTCTGTGAGCCCCTCACCGAGTCCGAGAGCCCCGCGGGCACATTCTGTGAGCACCTCACGGGGTCGGGGGGCCCCGCGGGCGCGTCCTAAGAGCCCCTCACGGGGTCAGGGGGCCCCGCGGGCGCGTCCTAAGAGCCCCTCACGGGGTCAGGGGGCCCCGCGGGCGCGTCCTAAGAGCCCCTCACGGGGTCAGGGGGCCCCGCGGGCGCGTTCTACGAGCCCCTCACGGGGTCAGAGGGCCCCGCGGGCGCGTTCTACGAGCTCCGCTGGGGAGCGCTTGGTGTGAGAGCGTGCACGCGTGCGCGTAGAAGAATGTTGCACGTTGCAGATGGTCGCGGAGCAAACAGCCTGTCTTCAGCCGGTCAGTCTGACCACAATGGGAGCTAGGTTCCTGAAAGGCACAACCGAGGGACTTCAGGTGCAAGTTTGTACAAGGCTTTATTTTAGCCTTTTCTTTCTGTGGAAGAATCTTCTCTCTTCTGGTGCAAGGAATTGAATAGTGAGAAGAAACGAAGGGAAAAATATCAAGAAGTGATATTCCTAATGCCTAAGACATGCCAGAGGGCCGTCTGTGGACATATTCACCAAACACCTCCTGTTAGGTGCCAAGCAGGGGTCCCTGTGAGCGTTCGTTCAGGTGAAGACCTTCCCACCTGGAGACAATGAGGAGCGCCAAATACGTGGACCCGACCCACTGCCCAGCGTTACTCACGTTTAACGCGGCTTCTCCACACTTCTCAATCGCAGCGAGACCCTGGTTGTGGATGTGTGTCTCCAGGAGCTTCTTCAGCTCCCCCAGGCCGTCCTGGATCCTGGACACGAGGTTGTACATGCGGCCCAGATCTGGAAGAAGAAGAGGCGCCATCTTATGCACGGAACAACTGCACATCCACCCCACTGATAACGTTTCTACTGAGACGAAGAGAAGGCGCTCTGAAACAATACCTGTGCTTTTACACCTAACAACCAAAGCCACTGAATCACGGCCAGGTGCTTTCTATTCAGTATGTGTGTATGTGTGTATGCACATGTACGTAAAAGTAACAATGAAGTCATGCTATTGTAAAAGTTTATTTTTCCCCTTAATATGAAAAACCACAGGAGAATAAAAAACAAATCCCATCAGAAACTACACTGAATGCTTCCTAAAAGATTGGGATGTTATTACTTATGCCTGATCAGTAGGCACTCAAACACTGATTTAAAAAAAAATGGATAAATTAAAGGAGAGAGACTGAATATTCAGCTCAAGTCCACAAATGAGTCACAACAGGGTCCTCAACGTCCTTCATCGACACGTGTGTGGTGTGAGGTCGCTTCATGAAAGCCAGGGATGCAGATACCAGTTGGGGGGAACCTAGTTCAACCATCAATCTTGTATGGAGCTCCTAACCTGCCCCCTCTTACAGATACACAATTATAATCCTCCCTTTCGAAGAAATCGGAGAAGTGTCAACTCAATGCTAAACGATACGGGACATGCTACATTCTACATTAAGCTGGAAACAGGCCCCCCAGCCACACTCAGATGCTCCCAAGGTGTGAAATCCGGATGCGCAGGTGGATGTGCACACCTTGTCATCAGTGACTGACGCTGGGCAAGTATGCTGGTTTTCATCACGTCTGTTCCCAGATGGGCTTCCTCCCGTCATCCCCCCAACGCCTCGCGTGGTTCGAAGTGCAGAAGCACACGCTTTCCACGGTCGTGTGTCGCCCTCCTTCTGAAGGTCATCATCAAGGGAAACGGTTTTAACAATTTGATTAAACTGCCTCTGTGCGGTAACACATTTTGGTGAAAGAGTGTTTTATTTTATCCTAATAAATTTCAGAGACAATGAAATTCTTGCTTCAATTTATTTGTTCCTTATTTGCAGCATTCCGAAGAATTCCAACCAAAGGCTTGAGAACCACGTGACCAGATACAGCACCAGCGACAGGAAGGTCTAACAGTACTTTCTGAATTACATACCACTTTCCCAGAAAGATTAAAAAACAACAAACCAAAACCCTGGTTGGTAAAACCTAATTATAGCTGGAATATGGCATTGGGGGTGATGCGTTTATGTCTTGTTACATTCTGTTTATACTTTTCTGTACATTCCCAATTTAGGGATGGGAAGGTATCACTCTTACAATCAGGAGAAACCCCGAATGTCAGAAACAGATCCTCCGGCACACAGAACTTCCTGTAACCACTAGTTCGCTCGCATGCCCCCGTGGCCTGCTCCAAGACGCACCCTCAGCCCCAGAGCCTTATCACAAGATGAGGACATGAGGTATCCCAGAGCCTCTCGCCCGTGAGGACCCAGTGTGCTCCGGGCCCCTGCACTCTGCGCACGCAGTGCCCAGGACACGGACATCTCCACTCGTGCTCCGGGCCCCTGCACTCTGCGCGCGCAGTGCCCAGGACACAGGGACATCTCCACTCGTGC